AGGAATTATGCCATCAGTGGCTGAGGCCAGACATCCACTCAAAAGAGCAGATCTTGGACCTGCTGGTGCTCGAGAAGTTCCTGACCATTCTGCCCAGGGAAATCCAGGACTGGGTGCAGAGACGTCATCCAGAGAACATCAGACAGGCTGTGGTCCTGCTAGAATGCTTGCAGAGAGAATCAGATGGAACAAAGAATGAGGTGAGAAGAAAGATTCCTTGTGCGGTATGAATGGTGAAGCAGGGCAGGGGTACAAATCTCTGGGTGGGGGCTTATCAGGGCATGAGACATTAAGTCACATTTTTCGTGTTCTGGTAGGAGAGCTAGGCAGGATCCGAAATCACAGTCATGCAGCAAATATTGCACAAGTCTCACATTGCTGGTGAACCGAGCCTTAGAGAAAAAAGTGCATTTTCCTGTCTTTAGGGCCGGGATGATTGACCTTGTAGGCTTGTCTGGCGTGAAGGAGGAGACAACACCAGGGATTTTAGGAACAGAAATAAAAGACAAGGAAAAGTTGGAAAATGAGAAAATTTTCAAAAATTGGACAGCATTTACAGAGAGCAAAGGAAAGTGAGGGTGGGAAACAAGTACAAATCCAACAACACCGGGTAGACTGCACAGGAAGAGAAAAAAATGAAAAACAAAAGGGGAACTACAGATTTGCAGAGACGAAAAGACCATGAGAGCAGGGGAAGGGATCAGGATGCTGGGGGGCTTGCGCTCTCTGCAGCAGGAGCACAGGCCTCTGAGCTTCGAGAAAATGCCTTGCCACAGAGGGAGCACCTGTTCTTGGCAGTGCTAGTGACTGGGGAACCAAGCTAGGCCGTTAGGAGATGGCCGAACCCTATGTTTCCGCGGGAGCCGACCTTGCACCTTGAAGATAAGGCAGAGCATATTTATGGTGTCTCACTGCATCCAAGTTATGGGGAGAAAGACTGGAGCCCATTTCTTCCCGTGTTTCTCACTCCATTCCATTCTCTTTCCCATAGCATCCTTCCTCGGGTATAGGAAGGATTAACTATCTGGATAATGGGAAATCTTAATTTTAATTCCCTCTCTTTTAGAGAAAATGCAAAGATAGAAATCCACTTAGACAGGGACCCAAGTTAAGAGAGCAAGCTAACAGAAGCAGTGTGACAATAGACGGCCTTCCCAAAGCTGCTAGTGGCTTCAACAGTGACTG